GCAGGGGACTTCAACGTGCATAATTCAGCCTGGCTACAGAGTAGCAAGACTACCCGAGCCGGCGAATGCCTGGAGGAAGTCTGCGCAGCACATCATCTTGTCCAGCATGTCACCCAGCCAACCCGCGGCAACAATACTCTCGATCTTATCATCTCCGATTTCCCACACCCCATATGCACCACAGCCTATGCACCACTTGGACGATCTGATCATGCCGTTATCATTGCCGAGTTTCTCCAACAGCATCCACGACGCGAAGATCCTGCTGTTCGACAGGTTTGGAAATACGCCCTTGCTGACTGGCACCACCTGAGAGCCTACCTCCGCAACATAGACTGGCCCGCCAAGATCCATGGGTGTGCGGAGCAGTCCTGTCAGCGCGTAACTGATGTCATCATGCATGGAATGAAACAGTTCATACCATCCAAAGAGCTTGTGGTGCACCAATCCAACCCTGTATGGTGGACACCGGACTGTTCTAACGCCAATCATGCCAAGGAGCGGGCATGGAAGCTGTGGCGACGCAATCCCCGCAACGATAACCACAAGGTCCAGTACATCACAACTGTTAACCACGAAGTGGAAGCGTGTCATGCAGCGCGATTAGCACATCAACGTAGAATTCGCAACAAGCTTACTGCAGGTTCCCTCCGGGACAAAGAGTGGTGGTCAACCATCAAGAGCGCAGCAGGCAAGGGACGTTGCTCTGACATCGCCCTGCTGACCAACCCTGCAGGACAAGAGTTCCACTGTTCTCGTGAGAAAGCCGAGTGCTTTGCAGCGCATTTTGCGAACAAGTGTAGCCTTGGCAATAACGACCTCTGTGCTGCTGACCTGCCTGACCTGCAACGACCTGCCTATGCCACGCTAAAGCACATTCACTTCCGCGCAGCAACGGTCAAACGGCACTTGGCGAACTTGGCTGTATCAAAAGCAACTGGACCGGATGGCATCTCTGCTCGTGTGCTCAAGATGTGCTCATCTGAACTTGCAGACCCACTGGCAAAGCTCTTCGCCCTCTGCTTCTTAGCCGGTGTGCAACCTGGGGCATGGAAACTTGCCCATGTAGTCCCAGTTCACAAACGGTCCTCCAGATCTTTGGCATCTAACTACCGACCAATATCACTGCTAACGATCATGTCGAAAGTCATGGAGGGCATTGTAAACACGCAACTGGTTAACTACCTAGAGAAGCATGAGGTGTTGCCAAACAGCCAGTTTGGATTCCGACGTGGTAGAGGAACCGCAGATATCTTAACGGCTCTCCAACATGAATGGGTCCACACCATAAGTACTGGCGGTTGTGTCCAGGTCCTCGCCGTGGATATTGCCGGTGCGTTTGACCGGGTATCGCACACAGGAGTGCTGTACAAAGCAAAGCAGGCCGGCGTCGACGGACACCTGCTTGTATGGCTACAGGACTACCTCACCAACCGAAACATCCGCGTTGTGGTTGGAGGCCAGACGTCAAATGCTCAACCCATCCAGGCTGGTGTCCCCCAAGGCAGCATCCTAGGACCCAGCCTCTTCCTTCTATACACCTGTGACATTGAACAATGTTTAACTCCAGGAACGCAGCTGAGCAGCTTTGCAGACGACACCACACTCTACAGCTTAGTACAGCCAACTGACGATCTCCAACAGTCCACCGCCTCCCTCCAAGGGTCCCTCAACAGTCTTGAGGAGTGGGGCCGCAAGTGGCGTATCTGTTTTGAGCCAGCCAAGACACAGCGCATGACTCTACATCGCAAGCACGTTCCCCCCTGCACTCCACCAGTCACCTTTGGAGGTGAAGCACTCCAGGAGACAGATACCCTGAAGCTGCTGGGAGTCATGCTCGACCCTACTCTCTCCTACAGAGCGCACACTCGCAATGTTGCACTGCGCGCCTCCCAAAGGCTGGGTTTCCTACGAAAGGCAGCACCCATCCTGGACGACCATGGTCGAGTGACGGTCTACAAGGGATTCGTGCGACCCCTACTTGAATATGCCCCACTGGCCTGGTCGAGCGCAGCCGCAACTAACATGGCCCAGCTGGACAAGGTTCAGCAACGTGCCCTGCATTTCCTGGGACCTGGAACCATCCTCCAAAGTCTTCAGCTTCGTCGGATGGTGGCAGCCCTGTCATACTTGTTCAAGCTGCACTACATTCCAGGGCCTCCCCAGGTAAAGGCCATGCTGCCACCAACCAAGCCCCCTGCCGTAGCTAGCATGTGCACACGGCAAAAACGTCAGACGCACCATGCCTATCAGCTGAAGTGGACACCCCCTCGCACAGCCCCTGACTACCTCCTGCGATCCTTCCCCTTCTTCGCCATCACACCCTGGAACAACCTGCCTGCGGACCTCCTGCTTCACGAGCCTCATTCAAGACGCCTCCAAACCTTCAAGGTCAACGTATGTAAGGATCTAATCCGAAAGAGATGGCTGTGGTCCACACAGTATCTGTGACGATGATATTGAGATTTGAGACCCATTTAGTATTTACCTCTCTACTACTACTTGCTTGTTATGATTATTGTTCTCTTTCTTCATTTTCCCTTCTGGTTTAGTCATTACACGTATTTATAATTATGATTTGGTGCAATACTAGCGCCCCTTTCTCACACCTAATTATTATTTTTGCTACCTGACCATGCACCCCCCCCCCTTTTTTCGATGCCAGGTTGCAACGCTAACGCCGAGACCCCTGGTCGGTCGAGTTGCTCCCTGTACATCGGCACGTCGTCCCTACATCCCCTGTGTCTTGTCTTGTGTTTGTCTCCACATGTCTCTTTGTAGGGCTGTGTTCCCAATAAAAAAAATAATAATAAAAAAGAAAAGAAAAAAAAGCGCACATTCGCTCGACAAAAAAGATATCACCAACACAAGTGCCCATACATACACACACACACACACACACACACACACACACACACCAGTGATCTAGCCAAAGCCGGCTCAGCCGGCAGAATGCCGGCTGGGAGGGCGACCTGCCGGCTGAGACAGCTCCAAGGGTAATTTTGGCCGGCTGCAGTCACCCCCATGTAGACTGTAGTGCCCCATATCCTAGGCGTAGGTATGTACAGTACAGTACAGTACATAGCACTGGCTACTCAGGCTCAGTGCTAGCTCGTCACCCAAGCTCAAATGCACTTGAGTATGCACTTGCGTACGTCAGTAAAATGTAACAGGTTGGGTCATGGTTCGCTGCTTCTGGTGGTGTACATGGCTGTGGCTAGGCTGGGTCTTGTCAGATGACCAATGACTATGTACACTGCATGCAGACATGACCTTGGTGAACACAATCATCTATGCTCATGTAGCTGTTTGCTTCCTTTTCCATATTTTGTTAATTTACCTATAATCACATTCACGTTCACAACTGCCTCATGAATGACCATAATTGGACGAAGCGAAAGGAGATGCAAGCTACAATGAAAGATTTGTAGTGGTGTGTGTGTGTGTGTGTGTGTGTGTGTGTGTGTGTGTGTGTGTGTGTGTGTGTGTGTGTGTGTGTGTGTGTGTGTGTGTGTGTGTGTGTGTGTGTGTGGATACGTGACTGATGGCGGGGGTCTGGGGGCGCAGCCCCCAGAACGATGCATTTTAACTGGAACGTGTTGGCCGGCTGGCATAAAATCCTGGCTAGACCTCTGCACACACACACACACACATACACAAACACACATGCACGGGTGCACATGCTCTCAAACACATACACACACTGAAAGACTCCCGCCTGTTCTATCAACCCATTGCTACAAGGTCACATTGGCCCCAGGAGGGGTCATACAGAGGGACAGTAGGAATATACCGTGTGGGATCCTACAGAAAATCAAAGATCTTGTGTGATTATCCCCCCTCCCCCTCCCTCTACTGCTGGTCCTGCCATGGACTCATCGGTAGTTCACTCGTAATACTGAACAACTACCATACAAGTACAGGCAGACCTCAGACCTGCCCATCGCGGAAGCGAACAGCTATGTTAGACATAGCAACTTGTGCTGGGATTACACCATTCAACAGCTTTCAAGGCTGATGAATTGACCGCCACTATGTTTAGCCTGGTATCCACCACACAGCTGATTGAAGTGACTTTTCCTGGCCAGTGAATCCCTATTATTCTTTTTCCATTTTTCCATTTTTTCTTTTTTTTTTCTACACACACCACACCACATACTTCAGCATACAATGGCTGTTGGTAACCACCCAGGAGAATGAAAGAAGAGTCAGGAAGAGTCCGAGAAAGAGAAGAAAGACGTGTGCGACCATAATCATCGGGAATTGAACCCGCAACCTCTCGATCGGAAATCGACTGCACATACCACTGCACCATATGGGACACACATACACACACATACACCCACCACATCCTACCCCCCCCCCCCACACACACACACATCCGCACCCCCCCCCCCACACACACACATACACATCCGCATCCCCCCCCCCCCCCCTGCTGGTCCTGCGATGGACTCTCAGAAGTTCACTCGCATTACTGAAGAACTACCATACAAGTACAGCCCCTCCCAGACACACGCACACACACACACACATACACACACATACACACAACACACAACAAACACACACACACACACCACACACACACACACACACACACACACACACACACACACACACACACACACACACACACACACTACTACTACTACTATTGACAGCTGCCAGAAATGGCCACGCCGCTCCCCAAAGGGAGGTACTGTCAGAGAGGTTAGGGGGGAGGAAGGCAATGCTCCAAGTGGCGTTCCAGATCTTGGCGCCTCCGGAACCGTCGGTTGTGGCAAACTTGGCAGTGAAACTTGAATTGTTGGCGTTCAGCCACAGTAGGGCGCTTTGGACAGGTTCCACAACGGTGACGCTTGAGACCCGCAGCCGATTTAAATGAACGCTGACAGTTGGTGCAAGTTACACCAGGAACAACAAGAGGAGCAGGGGCAGGGGCCGGCGGCTGGTCGACATCGCCTAGCCGACACTTATGCACCGCAAAGCCTCCTCTGCTACGTAGCCATCGGTTGCATGTTGGACACTGTACTGATCCAGGCTGCTCCGATACCGGGAGCTGACGGATTGCTGAACACTTGTGCCGGACCATGTCGGAACTACGGCGGAACAGACGGTTGCAGGTTGGGCACTCGATGCTCTTCGGGGCGGGTTCCTTGTCCTCACCTGCTGCTGTCACCACTCCACGCCACTCTCCACGATCGCTTGCCAACTCAAACCAGTTACGCACTCCAGCCACGGATAGGTCCGTGTGAATGGTGTCCTTCCAGCGACGACGAGGTCCACAGAATGGCCGAGACTGAGGGAGACAGGCAAACAGCAACTGCTTCGGTACTCTGGTGTCATCAAGACGAGCCAGGTGCCCAAGCCACTCCAACCGTCTCTGCTGCACCATGCGTGACAATGGTGTGGGATCACCCCACTGTGCTCGCAGTTCCTGTGAAGAGATGCGCTGTTCCCACTGTCGGCCTCGCGATACGCCAAGGATGGAGCGAATGTTGGCATGGTGAAACCGGTCCATTCTATCTAAATCTGCCTTCAACGGCGTCCAGCATTCTGAACCATACAGAACCGTTGACAGTACGCAAACGACATACAGGTGGCGCCTGGTAGGGAGGTTCAGGCTCCGGTCATGTAGGATGCGCCGAAGACCACCAAAGGCCCCTGCACCCTTTGCTAGACGGCTCCGAATGTCCGCTTGCGACCGCGAGTCTGGAGTGATGGTGGAACCAAGATAGGGGAATGAGGTGACTGCTTCAACCCTATCACTGCCAATGACCAAATCAGAGCAATCAGCAGGGCAAACTCCGAAACCTGCAACGAGAAGCTTGGTCTTGGTCATGCTCACTGTGAGACCCAAGCTGGATGCGACCTCACAAAAGGCACACAGGGATTGATCGGCTGCGTTGCGAGTTGTAGCGAGCAGTACAGCATCATCCGCAAACTCGAAGTCATCAGCATGGCCGGACTCGGAGTGGGGACGACGCCTAGTGACACGAGGGAACAGCTGGCCATCAATTGTGAAGCTGAAGTCCACACCAGACTCTATTCCACGCTCAACGAGAAGGGATCGCCAACGCTCAATAACTAAGCCGAAGTACAAGTTAAACAGTACAGGTGCCATAACGCACCCTTGGCGCAGCCCATTCTTGACAGATATCGGATCCGTGCAACCACCGGCAACGCGAACGCAAGCTGACATGTCTGTATGGAATGATTTGATGATGGCCACAGTCGGGGGCGGCACACCCAGCCGCAGCAATGCCTGCCAAAGAGCTTCGCGAGGGACAGAGTCGTATGCTTTGCGGAGATCCACAAATACGCAGAAGAGCTTCGATCGATGTTCGTACGACTTCTCGACAAGTTGACGGACAGAGAAGATGGCGTCCGCACAACCACGGTGCCGCCGAAACCCGCATTGGGATTCAGGCAGTTCCGCCTCAGCAATACCTTGCAATCGGTTTTGCATGATCCGAGCAGCCAACTTGCCGACAACCTCCAGCAATGCGATCCCTCGCCAATTATCGCAGCGAGAGAGGTCGCCCTTCTTTGGAATCGGTACCAGCAGTGCATCGCGCCAGTCCTGGGGCACGCAACCCCCCGACCAGACAGATTGGAGTAGGTCCAGGAGGAGTGGATGGAGGACAGGCACACCAACCTTCAGCAGCTCCGGCACAATCTGTGACATACCACCAGCTTTGCCATTCTGTAGGTGTCTAATTGCCTGAGTCAGCTCATCCTCCGATGGTGGCAGTGAGAGGGAGTCCTCGACCTCACGCTGAGGGATAAGTTGGAAGACATGCGGATCGTACACACTGCAGACATTCAAGACACCCGAGAAATGCCCATGCCATGTGCCCTGCTGCTCCTGAACAGATTCGCAAAGAACTCCATCGGCATTGCGGATGGATTGGACAGACAGGGGTTGCAAGCCCCCAAAGCAGCGTTGCATGTCGCGAATGGCAGACCAGACAGCTTTGCCACTGAAACGTCCACGGTGCACCACCGCCGCTTTGTCCATCAACCAAGTTGTTTTTGCCTTCCGGATACCAGTACGAGCCCGGCCACGCGCTTCTTTGAATGCCCGGTGATCAGAGTCCCTGCCGCTTCTCAGCCATTGGCTATACAGGGTATTACGAGACTCCAGTAGAGGCTCCAATACAAGGGCATTGTCACGGAACCAATCTGGCATCCGCCGCTTGTCCCGACTAACCACCTGCTCCGCCGCGTCAACAACAGCCGACTTCACGGTACTCCACTTACAGTCCACAGACGAGGCGCGGTCATACGTGGCTAAACGAGATTCAAGACTAGCACAGTACTCAGCACGTACAGTAGCCACACGCTCAGCCTCCTCTTCACTCATGAATGGCTTCCGATTGAATTGGTGAACAGCAAACTTCCGCGGCCTGGAACGTGCATCATGATGGTACCGTTGCTGCACAACGTCAGGTAGCCGGTATTTCATGCGGACAAGACGGTGGTCTGTGCTACACTCTGCAGTGCGCATCACTTGACAGTCCATGCAACGTTTACGGTGTTGTTGGCGTACGAACACATAATCTATACAATGCCACTTCTGTGATCCAGGGTGTTGCCAGGTGTACATGTGGATGCGTTTCTTGGGAAACAGTGTGTTACATACTGTGAGCTGTTGACACGCCAAGAATGTGAGTAGTCGATGACCAGCATCGTTCACATCACCAACACCATGTGATCCATGCACTCCCTGCCACATCTCTAGTTGCTGTGGGCCAAAACCAACACGAGCGTTGAAATCCCCCAGGACGATGACGTCATCAGCAGAGTTGACATCGCTGAGAGCAGACTGGAACTGAGCAAAGAACTCTTCCTTGTCAGCATGCGGGGATCGAAACGTAGGAGCGTAACATGAAATCACTGACATCCACCCGTGCTCAAATCTCAACCTGGCCGTCACGATGCGCGACGAGACGGGCCTCCACTGGCAGCCTGCACGTTCAAATGCCTGCTTGGCCCTCCGACGCAGAACCAGCGCAACACCCTCGCCACGACGAAAATTTTCGTCAGGTACGGGGCGACCAGAGGCGAGTACAGTCGCATCGCCGATGTTGAAAGAGTCTCTCCCAAACCATTTGGTTTCCTGCAGGCCAGCCACTTCCACGTCAAACCTGGACAGCTCACGGATAACCAAGTCGATCTTTCTGTCCTCCACGACGGGCACAAAATTCAAATTTTCAAAATTCACTCGTCTCTTTGCCGTCTCGACCGGTCCGTCATTGTTGACCAGAGTGCGGACGTTCCAAGATCCAAAGGCCAATGTTCGCAGCCTTCCTCTCCTCCGCCTTCCTGACAGTACTCTCTGAGCTTCGCAGTTTGGAACCATTCGGGGGTCAGCTACACCACCGCGAATGGAGAGACGAGGACGACAACGGTCGTGACAGAAAAGAAACTGCCCTGGCGACCGCGCCGCGGAACCCTCGCCCCAGGAAATTTAGGAACACGCCAGGGGCGACTCTGGTGAACCCAGAGCCACCCCGTGGCCTAAGACTAGTAAGAAGAACGACGGAAAAAACTCAGATAAATCGGAGCTACAAAAAGTGCAACCGTCCCCTTCAAACACAAGGGACACACACACACACACACACACACACACACACACACATACTTAAAAGGCTGTCTTATTGACCCAATGTTACACAAAATCAAGAATGGGAAATACAAAGAGGCAGTTCGACAATACGGCGTGATGATGTTACGAATGATCCAAAGTTTGGTTCCCACACCTCCCCTCCAACTCCCCTCCCCCCAAACCCGGGCTGCACACTCACTCCACCCCCCCCCCCCCCGCTACACACACACACACATACATACCCGCACCCCCCCCCCCCACACACACACTCTATCCCCCCCCCCCACACACACACTCTATCCCCTCCCCCCCCCCCCCCCACACACACCTCTATCCCCTCCCCCCCCCCCCCCACACACACCGGCACCCCCCCCCCACACACACACACCGGCACCCCCCCCCCCCCCACCCCACACAGAAACGTTACCACACAGACTCAGCTGTAATTTTCTCACGGTAACAAGGCACTAACAAACCAGTTCATCACACAGCAATCACAATCTGTCATGTGACTGGATGCTAATACTCTAACTTACTGGAGTATGCGATGTCTGAGTGCTGCCAGCATAGCACAGTGTTGGTTGTGTTCACTTAGGTGTTCATCAGTTTGACGATGTTTGCCACACAGGTAAGCCATGCCACAACGAGGACATGCTGTGATGTTGTCCAGGTCATAGCAGACAAAACATGCCGCTACACGTGGACACCATTCCTGCAGTGCAATGTGGTGATCAATGGTCACTTGGCCTCTCTTGGATTGATGATGTAGGGCAGCAAGGACAGAGATGTATAGTTGAGAATCGTCTCCAGCACCTCTCGGTGGTAAGTACACAATTCCAGACACTGAGAGACCAGTTGCACACTTGCTTGGCAGGCAAGCACTGAGATCCTTAACAAGTGACTTCAACGCTGGGAAGAGTGTGGAACTAACTTCAGTCGCAAAGAGAGTATTCTAGAGCAAAGCACACAACAAAGAAAAGTGTAGAAAAGAAAGTCACTTAACTAAGGCCCGTACTCTCGAAACAGAGAACATCATGCACAATAATAACAAATCAGGCTGATATAGCAGAATGGAACAAATTCCACTTCACCAGTTTACAATGTTCAAAATTATCACATTCCCCTCTGTGTTCTTCAAGAAATCAACCTTAGAGAGACAGACACTATACAGTAGATAATTACTGAGTACACTGGTTTGCAATACAATGTTCCATTAAGAGTGGAGTGTGGATGAAAAACAGTTATGGTAACCTGAACTGTGTACACTGCACTACCAGCTTACCTCCAAATTGAGCAGTGCTCTAGCCGTCAGAATACAAGACTGCATCACTTCCACATCAGGTATCTTGTTCTGGCTACAGTTGTTAATCAGTGCTGTTGTGTGATCTGCTGGATTTGAGCCATGACACCATCTCCTGACATAGTCCATCACAATGTTGTAGGGATGCTGTAATGGTAGAGTGAGACCCGATGGAGTTGTGTATGCCCTTCCATTAACTACCAAGGATATGTACTGGATGTTGTACATACCAACCAAGTACATGTCCAGTAGTGTGGTTACTGTGTCATTATCCATGGAGTACAGGTACTGTCGTAACCGAAGAGCAGACACAGTAGTATTGTCGTCACAGACATTGACCGAGCGGCTGATAGCAGTTGGTACATGTTTCCACTTGCACAGTGGTATACCCAGTGTTGAAAGCAATGATGGTGAAATAATCCACTCACTGCTGCAGGAACCTGACATGACCTTGCCCAAGATCACATCAATGCCTTGTTGCAGAACGTTGTACATTGAAGCACATGAAGGGACCCCACCATCCTGTGATAGGAAGCGTGATGACATCACTCTCTCAGCAAGGTCTTCTACCACCAATACATTGGGTATATCCTTGTTTAGCAGAGTGGAACAATACAGTTGAATGAGTTTCAGGGCACATTCAGTGACACCTGTTGCAAGACCCATTCTCAGTGTTTTTGTAACACGCTGGTATACCACCTGCAGACGGGATAGCGTTTCCTGGCTGGGCTCAACCTGTCCTTTCCTGCAGTCGATGTCCAGAGACATGGATACCCTGCATGACTCTAGAGAAAGTTGCATCAAAGGTAGCTGCAGCGGTGACTCCACTCCTGTCGGTTCTTGTTCAGATTTCTCTAGGAGCATTTGGGTTCTGGAATCCAAACTCTCAAAAGTGACATCAGAATCTGCAATGCTTGGACGTATAATATAACACATGACCGAGTTGCAAATGCAGTCAGCTTGTACAGACAGCGGTGCATTGTCCAGTCTTTGTATCCTTTCCCCAAACTCTCCAACAAACATTGCTTTCCCAAACAAGGCAAGTAGGATACCCGACGACTTTGTGAGTCCAGATAAAGGAAGCAAGTCATCGCCAGACAACACATCAACAACAGACAACGCCATCTGTATGTTCACCCTTTCCTGAAGCAGTTGATGACTCCAATACGCTGCTTTGTCTGCACCACAACCTCTACAGTCATCAAATTCCCTCACAAATCCAAGGAAATGCTTGCACATGCGCTGTTGGTACATGCGTTGCTTGTCTTCAGGGCATTGGTAACGACCAAACTCGGCGATGAATGGTTGAAGTGAGTAGCGGTCCAGATACGGATTGTAATCCAGGAAACAAATCTTGATCAACGGATCAAAACGTAGAAGATGAACCACATTGGCCTTAGTGTCAGCCAATCCTACCATCACACAAGCACATTGAGATGAGAATGAGGAGTGCAGTTGAGAGAGAGCATGGAATGATTCCTTGTCATCATGTTGTAATGTGTTGTATGCTAATTCCAACAGCTTCAGGATTCGATCCTTTGGTTTCAGACCATCATTGTTGAACACATCGAGACCAAGATCTTGGAATAACGACAGCACCATGGTTGGAGTTAATCGACCACCTTGTAGAAGACCAGCTGTAATGCGTACAGCAAGGGGAACATTTCCACAATAATCCACTAACCTCTGTGCATCTTCAATGCTCACACTACCTTCAACACACAGACCATGGAGAAGACCAACAGCACAAACCTTTGTCAGACCATCAAGACGGTGTTGTTGTAGTTTAAACTGGGCAACGTGTAGGTCAAAGTAAACACGACTTGTCAGTAGGACATGGGCATTGTGTTGTAGTCGAAGTAGTCGTTTGATGACATCTTGTAGTTGGAAATCTTTATCAGCACCAGCCTGGATAGCATCCTCGGCATTATCCAGAATACATAACATGTGGTGTTTGCCACCATCATCATCCATGCCATCAGTTGATTTCGTTGCTTTGCCAGTAGTTTCAGATGAAGCTGGGTTTGTTTCGAGTCGGTTTTGAATCATTGCCTGGACAGCGTCAACACCAGCTACACCGCGTAAGTCAAAGAACTCCACACGACAACCAGCATTGCGACATACATGTCCCACAGCAATGGCTACGGACGTCTTACCAAAACCAGCTGGTGCCACAAGACTCTGCACACGTGTAGATGATGACTTGGACATTGTTGTGAGAATGTTGTGACTGATCTCTGTAACAATGTCATCCCTGCCAGTGAAGTGTTCGTCCTGGTCTGGTAGAGATGACTGGCTTGAAGTTCCTGATCTAGCTGAATCCTGTGTTGTAGTCAATGTTGTACCCATTCTAGTTACATTGGCGGTTGTTTCAGCTGATGTTGGTTGTTTGAAGATTGGTTCACATCTGTTGGAGGTCCGTTGCTGGTATGCCTCACCATCCCCCACTGTGTGCTGCAATGGCTGTGTTTCCGGTTTGCCAACTGTTGCCATGGTGATAGGTAGCAAGATAACAGAAAGCAAGAGTAAAAACCTATTGTAAGTTTTGAAAATATTTCAAAGGGGATGTATGGCCTACTTTCTCCGTTAACCCGTTAAGCAAAACTTCAATGCAGTTTTATAGACCTGTCAAAACCATCTGGCAGAGCAATGGATGTCATCGTGGCCACCCTATCTCAGTGGGGGGGGGGGGGGGGGGGGAGGTCACCGATATATTTGTCCAATGCCCATAGAAAGGCCCTGATAAGAACAATAAACTGCAATGCAGAAGTTTTGCTTAACGGAGAAAGTCGAATCAAAATTTCACAGTACTGGACCTACTGGTAGTCTTCTGTGTATTGATTCGAATGGTGTTGGTCCGAGGAAGCTGGGCTACTGCCATTGGCCTATGTTCCCAGTCGAACTCATGCACTGGAAGCTGAGCTACTGCCGTTGGTCTATGTTCCCAGTCGAACTCATGCACTTTCAACTTTTTGGATGAGTGCACCCCACTACTAGCACAGTTGCGCTCGGTGAAATCCGACACAAAGTGAATATTTTGGCGCCACTGGATGAGTTGCTTTGACTGACAGCCCAACGTCTGAAGGTAAATTCCCCTGAAAGAAACATACATCCGTTATGGTGAAGGAGAGTCGATCGTACAGCAAAAACAATTGGCAATGACAAAGGGAAAAATTATGTTCAAAAACGCCCCGATTTCAGCTACAAGTATTACAAACAAGAATCCCGGGCTTATTTCCTACTAGTGGTTGTTGTAGAACTCTACAATTAGTAACAAAGTCATGTTCCAGTGATAGCGGATTTTCCATAATGGTGTTGATGACTATGTTGACTTAGTGAGATCTTTTGGAGGTCATAGAATGATGGCTGGTAGCCTCGGGCTCAGTTTTTCCAGGGAAATGTTCAAATTTATGAATCTCGACAAAGCACGAAATTTTCGGACAGAAAAGCCAAA